ATTATTTCAGCGTTATGTTATCAGACTTTCCTAACTTCAATGGCTCAGGATAACTTCGGAGGACATGGATTCCTATTCGAAAGTTGTTCTCTCTGAGACCCTCTATACGCTCCTTCAGTTGGGCCCTAACCTTTTGAATCACACTGTATTTATCATAGCACTGCATTATCACACACTGTGAAAGCCAAATGTGAGGTTAGGTTAGGTTTCTACAGAGAATGAAGGTGATTTCCCAGCGCCACCGCAAGCGTCAAGTATTTTCTTTCTGTCTGTCTGTCTGTCCGTCCAACTCCAGTATTATTACTAGCCCGAATATGTGAATGTCTGATCCCTAGAGAACAAGGCAGAAGATTTTCCGAAGGTATTTCTGGCAGCGAGAACGAAATTTGCATAATTTATGTTAATATTCCCTGGATGTTCACAGATTTCTCTCTAGGAGTTCTCAGAACTCAGAGTTCTCAGTGGAAAATGCAAAGTTTCGTGAAAGGGATTACCGCTTTATAACTCTTGCAGTGTTAAGGGACGTCGTACTTTTCAACCGCTGTCTGCAAACACTCCGTTCCGTTGTCGTCACATGACGCATAAGAAGACCAGCGACTTCCGATTCTGCGTGCAACAATAATTAAGTCATTTTCGCTTGGAGCGCAGTGTTTCATGTGCAAAAACACAATTCGTATCTATTAGTAAATATAATCTGTTTCCAGCAACAGTTCCTAGGCCTAGAAACCCAAACAAAAATTTAAATTAAAATGAAAACTTCCCGCAAGCTATACTCGAGGAATGTGATACATTGGCATGCAGAGGCCACAACAGTGAATATCTCCCACAGCATTGCAAGGTCTTCGGCCGAAGAATGTGCTGTACAGCACTGGCCAAAACCCACGCACGTCGACTGTGCGAAGTGTTCCCGGGGTGACTTCATCGTCTTAATGAAGCTTCATTTGTAATAGTTCTGGCATTAATGCAGCAAGTTGACAATTGAAGATTATTAAAATGGCGTTTTTGTTTTCGAATATTGATTAAAATTCGATTATGGAAACATTTAACGGCGGTGTAAGTCAAAACCGGAGTGACGTGTTATTCTGTTTTGAATGACTGGATCTGTCATCTTTCGGAAAGACAAGAGTAAAGACGGGGTTGAAGGACTTCTGATCGCGGGAAGTCTTGTGGAAAAGTTCCCCTTGTTTCTGGCTCGAAACCACGCAATATGGACGCTCCTCGTCACTTCGTCGGACCAGAGGCAATAATTTTCTTTGGATGTAATAAATCCTGTACTGAGCAGACAGCATTCCGCAGAATGTACTGTCGTCTAACAGAAACGTCGAATCTGCTCGAATGTTTGCTAAGATCAATACAAAGCGATTGGGTTGAGGCGAGCACAGAACCGAAAATATTGAAGACCAATTACGGCGAAGTTGTGGCACGCCTTTGGGGAGGGGTAGGGGGCATCTGCGCACTTTATGGAGGCGAGCGGGGAAGCACAGACGAATTACGAATAAAAAATATCGCGGTTGTGTTTTCAGGAGAGAGAAATACGTTTTTAAACGGATGTAATCATGCCTACAGGCTCACAGGACTCAGCCCTGGGACATAGGATTTGTGCTAGAGATGGACCAAAAGGCTGTCCTGATAAAGGACGTGCGGATGTCGAATATTCGTATGTCTTGGAATTATCACAGGCGATAAGTTATGAAGCAGAAACTGCCAGGCTCAGTTTAACTAACGGCCTCGTAATTGTGAGCGCGCTGTGCTAGATTGGAGCCAAGGCGGTCTACGCGTTGAAGACGAAGTCGCCTCGAACCTCATCGCAGTCCGCGTAATAGTCAGCGTGTTACGTGACGGACTGGACATTGCGCGTCAAAGCAGCTTGAACCATGATTTGGCGAAGAATGTACTGGATTGTCAGCTGCAGCGGTTATGAACCCCAATCAAAATTAATGCGAAGAGGACGGATAACGCAAGTTGTGAGGATCGTGGAACTGACAAGAGGAAATGAACGGGGGGAGAGGGGGGAGAAGACAAAATTAGATTATGGAGCTTGAAACAAACAATTGGAATAGAAGACTCCAACAGATCCATAATGCCGACCTGCGACCAAGTTATGTGTTAAACGTCGAGAATTTGCTCCAATAAAACATTTAAGGAATTCTTTACAAGTTTCTTGGACACTCTAGTGCCTAATTTTCGAAATCCAAAAAGGCCGACACTTCTTCCGGGTCGTTATATAAATTTCGGGGCAGAAGTGGGCCAATTTTCAGGGTCGTCTTTGCAAGGGCTGCATTTTTTATATTTGCCTTTTTTTTTGGACACTCCTGAAGCCGCCTGATTCTGAAGAGAAGATGAAGGAACAGTGGGACTGAACCATGGATTATTTACGTACTTGAAGAAAACCTGTCATACAGTTGGGTCGGAAGTATCGATCAACATCCTCATTCGACGTACCATCGGAACTGGTTAGACTAATTGAAATGTTCTTGCCTTTCCCATGCAGAATGGAATTGCATTTCGACTTACGCCACCAGGAAGGTCCAAGGAGGAACTGAGTGGGGCACATCAGCTTCCTGTCTGCGTCGACGAGTTTTACTTGTTGGGAGAAAAATAAGTTTAAAAAAATACCGAATCTTTGTCAGATGCTAGTAACGACATTGGCCAAGAATTACATGTCCAAGCCTCGTGAAGAGACTTCGGGCAAATCCTCTTTGAAAATGTGGCGGAGTTCCAATTTGTTATTTGGGAACGACGATAAGAAATCAAGAGCAGACTTTATTCAGAATCCTTGACAGCGCTGTCTGCTACATGAAAGTGTGTATATTAAAATGTCTCTCTCCCGTTAAGAGAACAGAGGGGGGGGGTGGGTGAGTAAAGCGGCCCAAGGACTTTTGAGGGATGGAGAAATGGTACAGCGAGGAGCTTCAGAACTTCTGCTGGTCGCAGGATATAATTGACGATAAGGTCGAGGGGAATGATATCGGCGGGGCATGTAGCACGCATGGTGCGGATGGAAACGCGTGCAAGTTCTGGTTTTAAATCTTGGAGGGAAGCGGAAGTTGGAGGATAATATTAAAATTAATTTTAGGGAACTGTGGTTGGATGATGTGGATTGGATTAATCTGACTCAGAGTAGGACTGGTGGTGGGCTGTTGTGAACACGGTGATATGAACCTCAGGGCTCCAATAAAATGTGGGAAATTTCTAGACTGAACAACTATCTGATGATAAAACGACGTGGAGTCGGTTTATTACGCACAAAACATCGTGACGTCATGCCCCATGATGTGTGACAGGTGCGACGTACAACTTTTGTTCGGTGCACGCATTGTCACGCCGTGTAAACACGCTGGCACGGGGCATTTACAGTTCCTGCTGTAAAAGCCTACTGGCCACACTTAGAGGCCAATCATGTATCTGTTCACCTAATCAGGCATTCCCCTGCTTTGTCTAAAAGTGGAATTACATGACCGCGTCATTCCCAAAAGTTCGGTTTTAATATTTGTGTGGGTGGAGATCAACGCCCACAGTTTCCATAAACAGAGCTCGTTCGTCGCACTGAACGAGTGTCCGGCAACCACTGATGAATAGGCAGTAATTCGCTGAAGGAAATCGTTTTTCTTATTATAAGTCAATATTCAGTTTTCTATTTTTCAACCAGAAATGATCCTGATGTTCGCGTTGATTTTCGCACGGCATTTTATGATTATTCAAATATGTCACTTTGCCATTTATGAATCCTCTCGGCATGCACCTGATTCTTTCCCCCGCCCCTTCACCCAGCTCTTCCTCAGGCACACTTCCCCCAGGCCTACCTGTGCGAAGTTTGAATGGAAGAGGACGAAAGCTGCCCAAGGGTAAGAGTAGCGATCCGTGGCCGATCGCCACGCCCCTTGCGGCATGTACATGTGACAGGCGAAGGGGATGTACTCCAGCATGACCAGAAGGTCAGCGACGGCCAGCCCCGTAAGCAGGGCGTTGGTCGGCGACGTCATCTCCCGACGCGTCAGCACGGCGATGTTGAGACTGTTGGCCACCGAACCGAAGAGACAGACGACGAGACTGTGAGTAAAGCGGCCCAAGGACTTTTGAGGGATGGAGAAATGGTACAGCGAGGAGCTTCAGAACTTCTGCTGGTCGCAGGATATAATTGACGATAAGGTCGAGGGGAATGATATCGGCGGGGCATGTAGCACGCATGGTGCGGATGGAAACGCGTGCAAGTTCTGGTTTTAAATCTTGGAGGGAAGCGGAAGTTGGAGGATAATATTAAAATTAATTTTAGGGAACTGTGGTTGGATGATGTGGATTGGATTAATCTGACTCAGAGTAGGACTGGTGGTGGGCTGTTGTGAACACGGTGATATGAACCTCAGGGCTCCAATAAAATGTGGGAAATTTCTAGACTGAACAACTATCTGATGATAAAACGACGTGGAGTCGGTTTATTACGCACAAAACATCGTGACGTCATGCCCCATGATGTGTGACAGGTGCGACGTACAACTTTTGTTCGGTGCACGCATTGTCACGCCGTGTAAACACGCTGGCACGGGGCATTTACAGTTCCTGCTGTAAAAGCCTACTGGCCACACTTAGAGGCCAATCATGTATCTGTTCACCTAATCAGGCATTCCCCTGCTTTGTCTAAAAGTGGAATTACATGACCGCGTCATTCCCAAAAGTTCGGTTTTAATATTTGTGTGGGTGGAGACCAACGCCCACAGTTTCCATAAACAGAGCTCGTTCGTCGCACCGAACGAGTGTCCGGCAACCACTGATGAATAGGCAGTAATTCGCAGAATGAAAACGTTTTTCTTATTATAAGTCAATATTCAGTTTTCTATTTTTCAACCAGAAATGATCCTGATGTTCGCGTTGATTTTCGCACGGCATTTTATGATTATTCAAATATGTCACTTTGCCATTTATGAATCCTCTCGGCATGCACCTGATTCTTTCCCCCGCCCCTTCACCCAGCTCTTCCTCAGGCACACTTCCCCCAGGCCTACCTGTGCGAAGTTTGAATGGAAGAGGACGAAAGCTGCCCAAGGGTAAGAGTAGCGATCCGTGGCCGATCGCCACGCCCCTTGCGGCATGTACATGTGACAGGCGAAGGGGATGTACTCCAGCATGACCAGAAGGTCAGCGACGGCCAGCCCCGTAAGCAGGGCGTTGGTCGGCGACGTCATCTCCCGACGCGTCAGCACGGCGATGTTGAGACTGTTGGCCACCGAACCGAAGAGACAGACGACGAGACTGACGTAGCCGTGAACCTGCAACAGAATGGCGAATTCTTTTGTTTACAGTGAGGACGAAGGACTGTTGGTGCAATAGAACGAGTCCATCGTTTTTCGAGAAATGTCACTTATCAACAGCAAACAAAATTTCGTCAAGATTGAATGTACGTATCAACGACCGATCAGATGTTGAGAGCCCCCCCCTCCCCCCCCGGGGGGGTTACTACAACTTGGAGAAACATCGGACAGCGCGCTTCAAAAAAGATCATCGTTTACTTGAGCCAGAAATTTTACGCAGAATGATCGAAAACTCACGCAACGCGTATTAAAATGATTATCGATGGATGCAACTCGGCGCAGTTCGACTCGATTTTTTTAACGCGCTGAACGAGAACCCACGCAGGTCTTCAGGGAGCGAAGTCTGCAAAACGAGCTCACTGTCGTGACTGGCTGAAGATAAGACTGGAGGACGACCTCAGATCGCCGTTGAGGCATGTTTCATTTGTCAGGGTATGCGAGAGGGAGACTCACCGCCAACGCCCCCCATCCACCACGTTGGAACCCTTGGAAATGTCTCCCCTAAAAAGTCTTGGTACTGCCGATTCCATAATTTCCACTCAAAGTTATTAACGCTTAGGCCTTCTTGCAGTCAGTGATTCTGAAACTGATGGTCTTTTATAGTAGAGGATTACAGCACAAATCCACTGTCGAAGAGTGTTGTCCCAAAACCAGCAAAGTCCATTCAGCACCGGGTTTTTTTTTGGGGGGTGGGCGGCCTTCTTGGAATCAGTATTTATTATATTAACAAAACCTGCGCTTAGGTTGGCAACGCGAATAATGGGAACTACATGTGGTCTGCTACTGACGAGGTGATTCCGTCATCAGAGTATGAAGATTTCTGTCTTCTGGGTTGTTGCGCTGTGTAGTCTGGTCGATGTTAACCAACGTTTCAGAGGTCATACTGCCTCCATCATCAGGGCGATGAGTATGAAGATTTCTGTCTTCCGGGTTGTTGCGCTGTGTAGTCTGGTCGATGTTAACCAACGTTTCAGAGGTCATACTGCCTCCGTCATCAGGGCGATGAGTATGAAGATTTCTGTCTTCTGGGTTGTTGCGCTGTGTAGTCTGGTTGATGTTAACCAACGTTTCAGAGGTCATACTTACTGCCTCCGTCATCACATTCATCGCCCTGATGACGGAGGCAGTATGACCTCTGAAACGTTGGTTAACATCGACCAGACTACACAGCGCAACAACCCAGAAGACGCAAATCTTCATACTCACCGCTGTGAGAACCTCAAGTCTTACAGAATGGCGTGTTATTTGCAGTACTCTAATTCAAGACCAGCAAATGACAAAAACTGTGGGTGCCATTAATGGTAATCCGAGCGTATCTTATTTCGAAACAGGCTGTTTCAGACGCGTAGCTAAGCAGAATGCCTATTGTGCAGGCAAAACGTTGAACAAGTCGCTCCAAGAAAGCCCGAAAGGCAACGCCGTATTCTTCTCTTAATGCTCGTTGGACCACGACTCGCTCGCTCACTGATGCTGGGGAAAATGAGATTAAAGTTTATGCACAGATATTCCTACTGCTTCATGCAGAGAAATGTTCTTAGACTAGAATTACTGTCGTAGAGCTTCTGAACCGTGCAATGTTGCAGAGAAATAATGCAGGTGATAAATATTCAGCTTGTGTTGTCACGTCTCAAAAGCTCTGTTCGTTGGAGCTTAATGGCAGTCGGGAATCTGCGGTTTGACATGACAGGCTCTACGCCCGCTGTGTAATGTTGGTAATCTTCAAGGTTATTGAACTCAGGGTTGGACACAACTGTGATGTATCTTAGGCTCTTGATTCTTCTGGATTCGTTTGGTTAAAAATTCGAAACCAAATTTGATTTGGTGTTGAAAGAAGGACACTGGCAGTCGAAGGCCTGAGGGTCGGAACTTCACTTCTTGTAAGGAACAGACCATCACAACTCAGACCAAGCCTCCGGGCGGGGGAGGGGTTCGAATCCATCACTGCGAAACGGTTTCGCCACATGACAAGCTCCACTGAAACCCGAAATGTCCCTTTTGTTTGGAACCTGACAGCTAATAATCGCGAAGCCTTTGGTTGAACGACAGCGCGTTGCTTGCAGCCACAGAAACCAAACCGTTTCAGATTCGGATTTTCTCCGGTAAGTCAGGACGAACGGCGCCAATGAGATGCAAGGATTTAGACATCTGCATCGGGGATGGAACAGTCGGGCATTTGAGTGTGGGCCTAGGAGACACGTCACCGTCAAATGGGGTAACACAGTTCTCAGGAGCGTTGTTGCGCGTACTGAAGACGCACAGCGGGGCTCAGCTGTGACCGAATGGTCGCGGAACACGCACATGACGGATACTGCGACATATTCACAACCCTCGGCGCCTGTAATACTCGAGCTCGTACTGCCGCACGGGGATAAGGACTCTACGTTATCCTGGTCGACGTAATCCATCCAGACGCTAATGGTAATGATTGTCCTGGCACTGTCGAAATAAGGGCCTGAGGAAGGCAGTAAGCTCGCCGAGACAGACTTTGATCTTACTAGACGCCTCAGGTTTCGCTCTTACGTAACCTGCCCTCCTCCAAATGAACTGAATTCGTTCATTCGGCTTATCTTGCGTTCAAAGCCGCTGCGTTACAAACTTTCAGTTCTAAAAGCAGCGGAGACAGATGAATGAAATGAATCCGCTCTGTAAGTAGACTCTGTCTGCTGTCATCTTTGTGCTGACCTCCCTGAAAAGCTGTTGGCTCTCGTTCCAAAAATAAATCCGTCGCAGAGAACCAGTCCTGAAACTTCCAACTATTACCCCAGAAATCTCCAGTCTCCAGTCCGTCCTCGCTTTCACGTGAGTACAAAGTTCATCATCACCGTCTGAACCACTGGACAGAGAAAGCGAGTTCACGTGAGTACAAAGTTCATCATCACGCGAAAAACTGCGTGACGTAACAACACGACCCAAGGAGTGGAGTTTCTGTAGAAAAGCAAATGGTCTCTCAGCTATCCAAAATATTTATAGCCTTTATACGGAACGCGAATGTTAATTGCCGTGCTGATCCACACGGATCCATTACCGTCTGTCGCACCCTGTTCCTTCGAGATAAGAACGCCCATGGGAAATTAAAACCATCATAAATGAAACTGGAAATAATAAACATTTATGAAATTATATCCATAAAAACGGCAAGAGCTGAACTCATAAAGCTAAGCTACAGTCCTATAAAACGCGTTCTGCTAATAGGCCATCTGTAGGTTTATAATAGGCTGCAACTATAAAGTAAAGTATGGCTGAGCAGAGGCCCGAAATATAGAATTCTACAGAAGTCAGCAGTATTTATTATTAGCACTTGTAAACAAATTGCAGACGGTGTTGCGTATTAAATTGGGAAGAACTTACAGGTATCTTCGCAGCACCGCCATGTCTGATATTGTCACATCGTTAAAAATATATCACGAGGAATTTGTTTTAAGGATTCAAATCTATGTTCATATTTCATTTTATATTCCCGTCTTGAATGGTCCATTAGAAAAGGTTTGCGATAATGACATCTGAATAAAAAATATCTGCACGGTGGCCATGTTCTAGGAAAAGATTCTTGTCAAGACGTCCACATCGCACACGTCATGTTAAGAGCAAATCGTAGGTGGCAGGACGGTCGCTCCCACCTCACAAGTTCGTCCGCCCGCCCGCCAATATTTTACAAGGTTGTTCCGCACGCTACGACGTGAGCGAGTAACAACTTATGGGACAGTCTGTGTCTGGCTTTCCGACCGTTATGTTTCTCAGCCATAGAACTGGACAACCCCAGGGCTTCCGCATTGAAGAGAGCAGGACCCAACGTGTTATTTTACAAATTTTATGTGAAACACTTTTAATAGGAAAGGTACTTCACGAAACACGCACACAAGTTGTTCCAGAATCTGTGGAGTGTAGCAACGATTGGACAGCGCATCAAGACAAACGGGGCACGTGAAAGGACAAAGAATTAATGAAACAGAACGCTGAGGGACTTACCAGTCTGTATCCCAGGCTGAAGTCCGCCAGTCCGGGGCAGAACGACGTGTTGCTGGTGCTCCGGGTTTGGTTCGTCACGACGCTGGTGTTGAACGCCATCTCTGCCGAGCGTTGGTCCGCACTTCACTTCGCGGAAACAGTTGCCTTATACGAAGAACATGAAGTCTAATGCCCAATTCTGTAGGGCGTGTTCCATGCGTCTGTTTAACATTTAATATTGTCTAGTTTCTTTTAGTTAAGAGGAGGACTTCGGCAGTTTTCGACCAAATATCTAAACAGACGACATAAATGTGCATTTATAAAACTGCGTTTCTGTGTTCAGTTCTAGTGTGAATAATTCATGAAATATTAAGTACAATTTTGGGAAGAGACTTTCAGATCTCGTTCAACATTCAAGTAAGTGAGTAACATCAATTCCACTATTTCGACAGCCTTTTCGTTGTTTTACTCGAACAAACGCTGATCGTCACACAACGCACTTCAGACCAAACTGTTCAAGAACGGAGCGTCAGAACGCCCTGTTCCCTGCTCAACTCTGGTATCAAAGCTCGTGACAGTTCATCTTCTAGTATCGACATTTTAATAAAAATTCAGTTTTCCAAACAATTTTCGTTTTATTCTCCCATTGCTGGGAGTGTGAACACGTTTGTCTGTAAAATTATGCAGGGAAGTTTTGTTTCTGAGAACTTCCTGTCCGAAGTTGTGCCAAGACACACGCACGCAAGCACGCACGCACACCGCCTGAACACACAATTACTTCGAATCTATGTTAGACGTAGTCACTGAAACCCGTGTTTTTGTTCTTTTACGATGATTTTGTTCCGTCGATGGACCGACATGATTTCTCACGTTTCAAACAAACGTTGCCTTATCTTGAAATTAATTCCGGCCTTTGGATTGAGTGATGTTTGACAGGATTCTCTTTCTACGCATCACTTGTTACTCCTGAAGTTTCGCTTTGTTCTTGCAAGTTCCGTTTATCTGTCTCTCCGCTCTGAAGCCCAACAAATTTATAATCTGCTGATTCGGATGCTGAAGTGTACACAGGAAGAAGTGGTCGTGCGGAAGCGCCTCGGATTCTGCAGGAAGACCCTGGGCGTCTCTCACCGCCGTTCCTGGAAGAGAACAGGAAAACGTCACAGAATGTAGGCGAAACAGTTGATGGACGGCGTGTGGACAGAGAATTTGAAATCGTTCTTGCTTTGTTCAGTTCGACTTTTGTCACCTGCATAGTGAATTGGAAAGGACTTGGAAGGAAGCGTTCTCGGCTTATTTCAATGTAAACTTGCCAGTCAGCCTGTGGGAGAATGCTTACCATTAATAATAGACCACGACTGAAATCTTGAGACTTGCGAGGAATGCAGGAAGTCCGAAGCGTTAAAGGCAGACGCCATCTGTAATTCTTCCTCCTTCGACCAGCAAGTCTCAAGATTACTTCTGATAACATAACTCGATCTTCGAGGTGATAAAGACTGCAATGAAATGCCACGATGCTGTTATACCGTGTTTTTCTCAGTTGTTCCTACTTGTCGTCTAGACTGTGAGCCACTCGGAGCTGCCCGAGGCATGTTGCTTTGAGCTGAACCCGATACCTCGACTGCCTCAGATACCACGCCCTCGTAATTAACCATGACCGGGGCGTGGATTGCTACACATCGCCTCTCAAAGGCGACTTCTGTTTGCCAGCGTAATTGATCCACTCTGTTTTCTGGCACTGCTATTAACATCTCTCCCTTTTCTGATAATTTGATGTGGGTTTATTAAAGGGGCTGACCAAGTTAGTCCAGATAACAAATACGAAAACTTCCTCCTAGTTTTCACAAGTGTTTGGTTCAAACGCACCTTCCTTCGAGAATTCCAACGAAACATCAAAACGTGCGGTGACGATGTGAGTCTAAAACTCCAAATAACGTGTTATTTCTGAAGCCTTAGTGGATGAGTGGGTTTCAGCGCAAACAAACATATTCGTACCTGCGGCTTCTGTCTCCGTGAGACGAAACGCATCTGCAGAACGATTCACAATTTCATGCCGGCGGCTACCTAAGAAGTTCATTCCAGACGCCAGTCCCACTCGGAAATATCTGGTGGGCGCGTACGAACGTGCACTCCCTTCGCAAACAGTCGATCAACAGGTCTCAGTTTGCTGAACTGGCACAGCCGACATGGGGTAATCCTCCAACTTGGGGAGACTGGATCTGAAGGTAAGAACGTCTCGTCGTAAGAAGCTAGCATGTTACAAGACGTCACGCACAGCCTTCTATAAGGACCATTTATCATCGTTTATGTGCGTTGGGATTCGGTTCCTCCCGTAGGGGAAGAACACACATTGAGCGTTGCTATCGTGTTTTGTCGTGAACGTTGCCCGTTATCGTGAGATCTTTCGGACAAGACGTTTCGGTAGTTTCCTGCCTTCGTCGTTTGGTGGCAGGAGGGGAGATTCTTTCTGTTCAGTTGGTACTCCTGGCGCTAGGAGACCGAAGAGACTGGGGTTGGGCGACCTCACCGACACCTGGAGGGACCTCAGAGCAGAAGTTTCGACCTGAAGACACATTCTCCCTTCATGTCCGACTCGCAGGCCGCGAGATTTCAAAATGGAATTGAAATGCCACGCCTCGTATTGCAAACAGTCTGACATATTATCTGCCCAGTTTCCTTTGAAAAAGCGGTCGTCGTCGAGATCTTTGACACCGCTGTTTTTAATGTTATTTTCATGTCTGGTTTAATTACCTTTGTTTCGAAACGCTTGAATCGCTTCAGGCGTTAATAAGTAACACGATTCCTAGTTCTCGATTGGACGTTCTTCATTAAACGTTACTTTGTGTCACGGGGGTGTTCTTTGTCGTACAGGATATTGCACGAAATATGTCGGTCCGCGGTCCGGCCTTGGAGCTGAGTGTGTCGGTCGAACGAATGAGACGCCGGGAGTCCGGGAATTTCATTTCTTGCACGCGGAGATAATATTAAAGTAGATATCAGCGAAATAGGCTTGGAAGGTGTAAAGTGGATAAACCTGGCTTTTGTGAACATTGTAATGGGCTTTCAAATTTCATAAGAGTGAGTAATTAAGCAGCTGAGCGTCTGTAAACGTCTCAATAAGGATTATTCCTCTTGGAGTTAGTTAATTCGTTCCACGTGACAGGGACCAAGATTCGATCCCTGTCCATCTATGCACGAATCCTGAACGCTAGCTGATGAAACCTCTTCGAGGACTTGGAAGGAAGATGACTGATGCTAAGACTCCGAGAACATTTAAGGCGCCTGAAGATTTTTAACGCGAGTAGCGTCATGATTTGTGTTCACCACATTATATCAGACTTACTGCATCAAGGAGGCTGGGCATGTAGCACGTTTGGGAGCTATGTGTATTCCAAAATTGTAGTGAAAATGGTTAACATCGACCAGACTACACAGCGCAATAACCCAGAAGACAGAAATCTTCAAAATCTTTTTATTTGTAGTGTTCTGTCTGAGGACAGGTCCATATGAACAGGATCCTTCCATCCTTTTCTCAGACTGAAGGTAGGGAATTGGGCGATGCTGGAACAGATGATGAGATGAAAGCAAGTATTAAAACGCGTCGCTAACACACAGCTGATGTATGAAGCGTGAACTGGTTTAATGTGGCTCAGGGTAATGCACTACGCACTAATTGCTCACTCATTCGACGGAATGAAGTCTGGAGTAATGACAGCGTAATCAGATAAGCCAAGAATGAATAAAGAATCGAGGGTTCTACTGAGTGCAGTTAGGAAGTTATCGTCTTGGAGCCGATAAGGGAATAGGCCTATTATTGAAATCGACCTTTGAATTCGAACTTTTTACATTGCACCAGAACGGCCTTGTAATTCTGTCTGGGTTGTTGTGAGTGGAGTCTGGTAGAAGGGAACCGACGTTTCAGAGGTCATACTGCCTCCGTCATCAGGGCGCCCTGATGAACCAAAGTCGGCGCCGTGAGAACTTCAGATCTCACGACTTTCGGGTCCCGGTTCTGACCCAGTCTCTGACTGGGCCGGTGTTTACAGAAGACTTACTTACCTCAGGAAGAGATACGAATGGGTTAGCAGTTTCTGCTGTCGACGCAAAATCCTCCTTCGGACGTAACAGTGTTTTTTCTCCGAACATTTACGAGCGGACACGAATAAAGGTCTTTATGAACATTAACAGTTTCAGAGTAAGTCTGTAAAATTAGAAGTCACAGTCCACGGCATTAATGAGTTGCGTTTCGGTGTGGATGCACGTCTATTACAGCGCAGTTTGGCAGAATCACGTTCTGTGTGTCGGTAAAGGGAGGGATTTTGTTGTGAACGCGGTGCTAACGAGCCGATCTGGAACCTTGAACCGTAATTCCTCACGTGGTGGGTACCAGCGACTCTTTAACAAAAACAAGAATCGAATACGGAACTTCTTTCGACACAAACCACAATCAAGTGGTCGTCTGTCTGTCTTGGCACTGCAGAGCTCGAATCTCGGAGCGGAGATCGGCCATCTTGACAAAAGATTTTAGAAGTTCTTCTCATAGAAACGAATTAAAATACATAAAACGGCCGCTTCCTTACACATAATTTTAAATTGATCAGTCTTGTCAGCATCCGACTACTTGATGGTACTTATTTATTGGTAATTAAATTCTTAAGAATCGCATGTCCTTTTGAAAATCTGCTTTTATGCAAACGGAAAGTCTGTTTTATGTTGCTGCGACGTTTCAGTTGTGAACTGGGGATAACGAAACGTCCACAGACGGGTGAATAGTTACTCGTTATAGCCAACAAGATTAGAATTGCGTTTCTTAAGACTATTCATTGAAAACAAACTGCGATTAGATGGGTAACAGAGGTGACGAACAAGCCACTGAAAAGACATTTCAATTTGGTGTTGGCACAAAATGAGAAATGTCGCGTCTTATTAACATTTTCATCTCCGCGAAAAAAAAAATGTGTTGAGGGCTTCACTGAACCAGACAGAAGTCGCCGCTTCCGCACGTCAACCGAACGACGCGTCGCTTAGAGCGCGGGAACGACCTTCCGCCACAAAACGCGGGAACGAACTGCGCCCTGGACCACTTAATGAGCAGTCCTTCGGTGCGAGGCGTCGCGATGGCCACTCCTAGGACGCTCTGCGCAAGCGCAAGGATTGGGGGGGGGAGCTGTTAGGGGGACTTATTAGATAGAAACTTGTGTCATATGTAAATCGAGGCGTCTCATAATTTATTATGCAACCACAGGGGGGTAAGGAAGGAGACGGTACGCAGTCCTGGACCCGCCGATGTATTTTGAGCGTCCCGCGCGCATTTTCCGTTTTGTCACCATGTTCGATGTGAGTCAGCTGATACCAGTAAACACTCTTTGTTAGTGTCGTCAGTATCTGACAGCAGATGTTGCTGCGAACAGCTGTCCAACTCGGTGACGGGACGCTTCTTACGTGGGATGCCACGTGACTATCACAAGAGGTTCAAAACGAGTTCGCATTCCACTGAACTGCAGCTTACGTGAAACCGTATCTTCATCATCACGATCATAAGCCAGCTTAATCCACCTCCACGCCCTCACACCCGAATCGTAAGGCCCAGTTTAATATTACCTTCTCATATACGCCTAGATTTCCAAACTGGTTTCCTTCTTTTGAGTGTTCCGACAAACATTCTGTGCGCATTTCTTATTTCCTCACGCGTGCTTCGTGTAAAGTGCGGGTTGCATTGGGCTAACAACCAACATTGAATCCGTGTGGCGAAGTTTAGTGCCAATCAACAGCAGTGCCGGACTACTTCGCGGTCCTTTTAGTGCTATCTCGCAGAGTCCGGTGCTATGCTTGACCTCCGGTATTTTCTCGCGAAGGTAGCTCCCAAGGCGAAGCAGGGGCGACGTGCCGTTCTGGACACGGAAATGCGAAATCACAGAGACGCCTGTGTGGAGTCCGAAGTTCTCAGCGTCGCTCCCACCTCACGTTCCGAGAGTCGACTTAGGAAATTAAGCTCTGCTAGGTAGGTGTGACTGCCGTCGGCATAATTTTCGTACCAAATGTAATGAAAATCGGCGATACGGAATGCGCGCTGGTTCGAATCTCGGGGAAAAGAAATTTTCTCATGTCAATTAGGCACGTGGTGATTTGTATTTAGGTGGACGCAATGAGTGTAAAACCTTTTTTGTAGGTGTAAGCCGTTTCTCCCTAGACACAATCACGGAAAATATTCCAGCGCTTACCGAACAATTGCGATACACAAACATGGCGTCTGTCGCGTTGCGTTTCGAAGTAGCCGAAATGTTTACGAATGAAAATTACAGTCTGAAGCAGATCACGAACTTCGTCGCCATACGCAGTGAAGCATTTAAGGAGCAGACTCTGCGAGTTCGTTCCACGAAATGTTCCAAAATATTAAACGTTCTCCGACACCAAGTAATCGAGGAAACGCGTGTGTTAAGTTTTCAACCGTGCATTAGGCTATTTGCCTAACAGAAAGAACCTGAGAGCACTTTATTACAATGGAACTACTCTTTTTATGATTATCGCAGAAGGATCATTAATTTCTTTAACTGTTAGTAGGTTTCAGAAAAGAAGTAGCTATATAAACGCAAGATGGCTTATAAAACTCCTTAGCACTTTTAAAAGATAACATATTTATGAAAAACACGAAAGAGCATAAGAAAACGATAACTGAAAACTGTTATCTAATACTCGCAGGCGGGCATTAAAATTGTGACGTCAGCTAGGAGTCTGCAAACGGGAGTAAAAATGTTGTTAGAGGAACAGGCGAAATGTCTGACAGAAGAATCTTCGCGGGATAAAATTATGGCGCACTCCGCCACGCCTGGACACCGACGAAACAGTCGTACAAGTGGCCTGCACTTTTGTTCTTTTCCGGGAATAGTCGTTCGCTGAAGTTGTACTTGTTGTTTCATATTTACGCTCAGTCGTCGGATTAGCCTTGCTTTAGCCATCGTCGTAAATTTTTCAGACAACGCCGTGTTTCCGAGGTTGTGTGTGCCCCTGTGTTCAGGTGAAATGGACTGATTACGATGGACCCTCTCTGTGTGGACGCCGTTCGCCTGAACTGCCGAGACGTTCGTTGGGTCTGTAGAATGCTCTCTGTGTGGACGCCGTTCGCCTGAAGGCGGAAACAGATACAACTGCCGAGACGTACCTTGGGTCTGTAGAATACAGAAGGATGGATGAGTCCAAGAAACCATCAATACTTACTGTACTGGGCCGTGCTAAGACACAGATGACAATTTGGAATATTTTACATTTTCTCAACGTAACTACCAATAGCGACGTTGCGCTGTCCCAACTACTCCTGTTCTGACCAATGTGATCGTCTGCTTTCCGCTTTTGTGCTGTATTTCCTGAGGAAGATCTTGGGGACTGCAACATTCGGTTTTCATATAAAGCTCGTAATGCTACCGGATATTGGACGCAGTCTCATTTCCGGCGTTGAGACAATAGGCTGTGCGTGTTGCAGCAGACGGTAACCGGCACCAGATGCAGTACGCGGTAGACGGGGACATGGGAGTCCAGTCACTACAATAAATTTGATTATTAGGGTTACGGCTATTTGAGTTAAGGTAGTAAAACGTAATTTTCGAAAAAATTCAAAAACTCGGAGTACATAGCCTCCACACCAGTCATGGAAGCAAGGGTTAGGTTAGGTCAGTTTAAGTCAGGTTACGTAAAGTTAGGTTAGTTTGGGTTAGGTTAGGGTAGGGTAGGTTAGCTTTGGTCAGATCGAGTTGTTTCGTTTGGGAAAAATCTAGAAACTTTATAAAAATTTCAAGAATTCGCAAAATATCCGTAAAACGTACAATTATAAAACTTCAAAATTTTAAAACGTTTTGAAACTTTTCTCTGCCTGAATCGAAATCACCCAGACCCGGTGATCTAACACGCTCCTGTATCTGCGCGACCCGGTCTGTCGGACCCGCTTTGCCGGCCACAGTCTCTGTCTGAACCGGTCCCTGTCTGTCCCTGTGCCTGTAGACGTGGAATCCGCCAGACCCTGTCTCTAGCGAACACGATCCCTACCGGAGCCGGTCTCCACCTCGCCCGGTATCTGCCGTAGGTCTTTGCAGAGACGGCACACCAGAGACAAGGTCATACACACAGACCGGATGGTGAAAATTTTTCGAAATTTTTGAAAAAAAATTTCAAGTTGAATTTTTTTGAAAATATTTGGCTTTGTGCGCCATTTGGACATTTTCCAGCATTTTTTGATGTTTTGAAAATTTTGGAAAATTTGAAATTTTTTTCAAAATTCTCCCCACCCGTAATGTGATAGGACCCGTGTCTGCAAAGCCAAGCGAGGCGAGGCAAGGCGAGGTCAGGCGAGGCCAAACGAGGACAGGCGAGGCAAGGTGAGCATGGCAAGGTCAAGCGATGCCAGGCAAGGCGAGGCAAGGCAAAGAGAAGCAAGGCGAGGCCAGGTGAGGCCAGGCGAGACCAGGCGAGACCAGGCGAGGCAAGGCGAG